CCCTGACCCTGTGGCACAGGGGCAGAGGGCAGGGGTTGCCTTTGGTACAGATGGGATTTCTCGAACCTTAGAGGGAGCAGCCCCGGCTTTCAGGCAGGCACACCGGGTGGGCGGGGCGGGGGCTCTGCTCTGTGCTGGAGCTGACTGCCGGCCAAGGTCTCTGACTCCACATCACCCTTGCCATCTCAGGGACTAGCTGCTACTCCCGGAACCTGGACTACGCCCGGCTGCGCAAGATCGCTGATGACAACGGGGCGTACCTCATGGCTGACATGGCACATGTCAGCGGGCTGGTGGCGGCTGGCGTGGTGCCTTCCCCCTTCGAGCACTGCCACGTGGTGTCCACCACCACCCACAAGACCCTGCGGGGCTGCCGCGCCGGCATGATCTTCTACAGGAAGGGTGCGCTTATCCCTGGGGGGTGTCAGGGTCCCATGAAGAGCAGGGGGTGAGAGCACAGCAGTCCAGGTCGTGGGGCAGGAGGGTAGCGAGGGGTCTGGATGATGGAGCCCTTGTTTGGGGTTTCCGTTCCAGAGAAGCCAGATGAGGGTCCCATGGTCCTTCAGCCCTAGATGGTACCAGTGACTAAGCTCTGTCAACAGAAACAACCCCCTCTGGGGACCAAGTCTCTTTGAACCCCTGCAATACCCCCTTGCCCAGCCCCTGGCTAGGGCTGGACACACCATCACCCACTGGGCCTCCAGGGCCCTGCTTCTCCTTGGAGACCCCTCCCCAGCTGCTTTAAGCTTTCCAAGGCCAGCAGCCTTTCCCACCCACCTGGGAGACATTTGTTTTCCCTGCTGTATGTTGGTGGCATTTGAGTGACCCAGTCACAGAGCAAGGCCTGGCTCTGCCACAGAAGCCGTGTGTGATCTTGGGCTAGTTGTGCAGCTCCTCTGTGCCTTGTTTCCTCACCTCCAGATCATCACAATAGCACCTGTCCCTTGGTATGGCTGTTGTGAGGATTAAATGAATGAATTTAGGGAAGCTGCTCAGAGCAGTTCCCAGCTCACAAGAAGCTCTGTGGAGATGCTGGCAGCTCCCATCCCTGATCCTTAACTTTTCTCAGAAAGGAAGCTTCTTTCCCGTTTCTGGCCCAGTGAGCCCCATCTCCTCCAGAAGCATCATCTTGGATGGTTCTTTGAGAAACTGCCCAAGGCATACTCCTTGTTCCTGTCTTGATGGAGGGACATTTTCATCCTTCCTTTCATCTCTAAAGCGTCGTTCCCCCTCCCCTAACCCCTCGGGAGCAAGTACCCTCTCTGGTCCGCAGTGTCAGCTCCAGGAGTGGGGGCCAGGCCAGGTCTGTGTCCAGGCAGGGAGAAGACAGAAGGGACGGCCTGTCCCATGTCCCATATTGTCCTTCATCCAGGAGTGTGCAGTGTGGACCCCAAGACAGGCAAAGAGACTCGCTACAACCTGGAGTCGCTCATCAACTCTGCTGTGTTCCCAGGCCTGCAAGGGGGACCCCACAACCATGCCATTGCTGGTAACGCACCCTGCCCCATGGCTTCCCTGCTATTACCCCCCGGCCCCACCTTGCTCGCAACCCCACCCCACCCTAGGCAGAAGCAGTTCTCTGATGGTACACAAGCCTTAGAGAATCTGTGATGATCTCAGAGTTACTTCTCCATCTTTGGAGAAAAGCAGTTGGTGGAAGAGCCGGGGTCAAGGTGTCACTTCCCTTTCAACTGGTGTTTGCAAGGAGGGATGTGGAGGAAGCAGTGAAGCGCGAGTTTTAGGTTTTGGGCTGGGTGGGGTGGCTCCCTTTACACCCCCAGCTCAGCGCCCAGGTGCTCTAGCTCTGCGATGGTGGGGTGCCCATCCACTGGCCACTCCAACCCTTTCCACATGCTGACTGGAGGCTCCCATGCCAGGACTCAGGCAGGTAGCTTGTATCCTCCTCCATCTTCAGTGCCCCTTTAAGCAGCCCTTGGGATGGAACAAATCCAGAGGAGCCTGGATGAACTGGTGGATTGGCCACTCCTCTCCCCGGCTCTGCTCCGGAAGCTGCCTCACTTTGCATCAAAGCAGTGGCAGCCAAGTGAAGCATGTCCCACGTCCACCTTGCTGGGGACAGGGAGCAGCTCTCCCGTGGCGATCTTAGCCCAGAACTTCATGCTGGACAGGGGCTGCCTGAAAAACTCTTGCTCAGAGAGGTCTGGAGGGCCAGCCAGGGAATGGCAGGGTTAAAATGGGATCATTTAGGAGGAGATGTAACCCTGCCTTGATGACACTGAGAAGCTTGGATGCCCGAATGGAGACAGGTGTTTCTTTGACTCATGGTCTGCCTTTCACCTCCTGCCAGGGGTCGCAGTTGCTCTGAAGCAGGCCATGACTCCGGAGTTCAGAGCCTACCAGCGCCAGGTGGTGGCCAACTGCAGGGCTCTGGCCGAGGCCTTGATGGGACTGGGCTACAGAGTGGTCACAGGTACAGCAGGAAGTCAGCCCACGGGGTGGCCCTCCCTGCTCCTCGTCCCATCTCCATCAGGGTGTGGCAGTAGGTCGTGGCCTGGGCAGGTGGCCACAGCTCTGGGGTGACTCAGGATTCCCAGCTCTGGACACATGACCTCTGCATTCGAACCCTGAAACAGCCTTGCGAATCACTGGTCTTATTTTACAAATGGGCATCTGAGGTTCCTAAAGCCACATGACTACTGGAGTTGGGGGCAGTGAGGGTAGGGGTGGAGGATGGGTTGAGGGCCAAGGGTCAGCTTAGGCCATGAGCATCTTTGAAGTCAGTGCCTGGGGATTAAGCAGGGTTCATTCACAGGAAGATCAGGTGCTTGAGAGATGCCTGGGAGGTCAGGGGCTGTTCCAGAAAGTTCTTCCATATCACCTGCACCACTTGGAAGATACAGTCACCTTGGCAGGATTAGGGGTAATGTGCCAGTTACCCTGGCACCTCCATCGCCCCCTGCCCACTGCCCTGAGGCCCCTTAGAGGGAGCCTCGAAGATGGATCTAGAGACAAGTGGGAAATTCCCAAGGGGGGTCGTCACCCTGACAGGCTTCCGGGAGCTGGTGGGTTGGGATGCAGCCACGGGCCTTCTGGGCTGGCCATATGCCCTCAGCCCCCTCTGCGTTCTCAGGTTCCTTTTCTAAACTACTCTGTGCATCATCTCAAACCCGGAGGCCCTGGGTCTTCAGCACGTGATGACAGCCCTGCAGGACACGTGATGGGGTCACCTTCCCTATCTCACCTGCTGTAGCCCCCTTGCACCCTGCCAGTTCTTTGGAAGAGGGATCCCTGTGCTCAGCAGCAGATTACCTTCCATGTCTCCCACCTGATTTCCAGGGGGTTCTGACAACCACTTGATCCTCGTGGATCTCCGCTCCAAAGGCACGGATGGCGGCAGGGCAGAGAAGGTGCTGGAAGCCTGCTCCATCGCCTGCAACAAGAATACCTGCCCAGGTGAGCATCCTTGGTCCTCTCCTGTCTGGACCTCTTGGGGCTGATGGTGACTTGCTCTGGGGACAAGATGTGCTGTGTGGGACAGGAGCCAGGCTTTCCCCCACTGCCTGCCCCCTGATGAGACACTTGACCCTGCCCAGGACAGAGCAGGAGAGGGTGTGGGAGGTGGGGGCCCTCTGGAAAACTGGATTTCTCAGCGGCTCGTGAATAAGATGTGGGAGATGCGTCTCAAATGCAGACATGAACGCCTGGTGTCAGGAGCAAGGACCACGTCCAGGAGGCCACTTCCTTGAATTTAAAGTAGTGCAGCTGACACCTGGCTCCACCTCCTGGCTTCTGCCTTCCACTCTGGCCTGCTCAGGCTGTGCCCACTCAAGCTGGTATCTTCAGGCCCATTTCTTTTGCCCATGCGTCCCTTTTCGGTTCAGGGGGATCAGTGGGGGATAGAGCCTGTTTATCTTGCAGGTGACAAAAGTGCGCTACGGCCCAGTGGGCTGCGCCTGGGGACCCCAGCACTGACCTCCCGAGGACTCTTGGAAGAAGATTTCCAAAAGGTCGCCCACTTCATTCACAGAGGTGAGGGGAGGCATGGCTGCTGGCCATGCCGGGCTGTGAGATGAGGGGAGGACTGCTCTGTGTCAGGGCTGGTGATGGGCCAGGGGACAGAGTCTCTCCCAGAATACGTGGGCAGAGAGGGTGGTGGGCGTGGGTGGGAGGCACACTGGGGCCTGGACGGCAGAGCGGTTGGCTGGCCGCTGGGCACTGGTGTCTCTCGCTGGCACAGGCATAGAGCTGACCCTGAAGATACAGGACGCTGTAGGGGTGAAGGCCACCCTGAAGGAGTTCATGGAGAAGCTGGCAGGGGCTGAGGAGCACCAGCAGGCCGTGGCGGCCCTCAGGGCAGAGGTAGAGAGCTTCGCCACCCTATTCCCGCTGCCTGGCCTACCTGACTTCTAGAGGAGCGCCCGCCCGCCCAGGGACCCAGCGCCCTGGGGGCCCCACACAGGCCCTCCCAGAGGCCTCTTTTCAGAATTTGCTACCTTCTTTTTTACCTTCTTTACAAATCAACATTTAAAGCTTCTGGGACAAGTTATGAAGGAGTATAAATCTGAACCTCACCTTCTTACAGCTGCAAATACAGTTATCATGGGAAAATGGAATACAATTTAGCCATTCCACTTTAATTATCCAGACGAGTATGGGCACAGCTGCTGGGAAGACACCGCGACCTTTACCCCCTCTTGATCCCCTGGGCTTCCCTCCCCCCCCCCCCCCCACCCCGGACATGTGACAAAGAGAAGCACTGAGCTGCAGCTGGGAGAAGCTGCTCTGATGCCAGACAAGGGCTCAGCCCTGATGTCGTGGGCGAGGAGGGAGCGTCCTGGCCTGTGCTTTCAACCAGAATCCTAAGTCAGATGATTTTGTTTGGGTGCCACCTAGCTAGGTGGGAGTCCGGCTGTCACACCTGGGAGGAGGGGGACATGTGTGGTTTCCTCTCCCAGTCTGGAACGGGTGGCCCTGGAAGCCAGTCTGGAGCCACCAAGGTCCAGACGACCATCTCCCTCTCCTAATCAGGAAACCAGAGGTCACCTTCCCAGAGAAACTTTATTTTCCACAAATCTCAAGTGCAAAACATAGATGACCATTTTTAATAAGCACAGTTAAATTTTTAACCACAGGATGTCTACAAGAATTATAGTTTTAAAAAATACAACCAATTTTTATATTTCAAAAATATCTCAACTCAAATAAATTAATTTCTTAAAAAGTACACTTCTCATACTATTTGTTTGGCATGACTGGTTAAACTGGTGCAGCCACACCGAGAGCTGCGGGCACATGCATGTGCAGCGTGCTCTCGCCCTGCAGTGCCCAGCTCACCTGGGGGACCCACACTCACACACGACAAGGAACATGCAATAATAAAATAGCCTTTAAAAAAGTGACAAATACGACTTTGTCACGCCCTATGCTTCTCACTGTGGCCTGAACGCAGTGGTGGGTGGCGGCTCCAGCACAGTGGGCAGGGCAGCCACCACCTCTGGAGGCTGTGGGGTCGTCACACTGCCCAGCCTGAGAGAAAGGGGCGTCCCCAGGCCGCCGCACACCCACCCCACACGCCTGCTCCCTCCTCCCCACAGCAGTGGTAACCAAACCTCCTCAGGTAGGGCCAGTGTGCTCAAACCCTAGCTGAAGCTGGTTTTCCTTCTGGGCAGAAGTAGAGATTTGATGCTTTTCCTTTTTTTTTTTTTTGATGCTTTTCCTTTTTGCAGTCTGTTAATGCCGTCTCTCTTAAAAATTCCAGTTTTAGCAGCTTCTATCACAACACTGGGGAAAAGCCAGAAAGCCAGTTGGTTTGCTTCACAGCACGAGCCAAGGCACTTTCTCAAGCCTCTAGGGAGATGGGAAAGGCTGTCCACTAGCTGAGGGCCCCTGTCTGTGTGGAGACCACATGGCAGCGGCAGCATCGTGGACTGAGGGAGCAGCTGGCCGGACAGCGACATCAGGCTGGGGAGGGGTCGGCAAGCTGCGTGCAGGGTTGTCTGGACTGCTAGGCCTCCGGGGACGGGTCACGAGCTGCAGCAGCCCTGGCACTTGGGGGAGAATCTACCAGCCTTCCTGCAACTTGTCACTAGTTTGGGGGTGAAATTTACAATCTCTGCACATGGTAACTGACCTAAAACAAGATGTTAAAGAACCAACTGGGAAATGACCCGGGATCTGATTCTACTGAAGGAGCAAGACCCCCAGGGGCTGCCAAAAGGGTTCGGCGGGTGTGGAGCTTCTGGAAATCTCTTCACTGCCAGCTTGAGCAGGTTCTTCATAACCTGGACTGCTTTAAAAGTGGGGGGAGGGGGGGGGCGGCGGCACGCAGTGCACGTAACAGACTGGAAGTGAAGCTGAAACCAACCTCAAGGTTTCGGTGCCTGGGCCTCCAAGGTGACACTAGGACTGAAGAAGTACTAGGGGTGCTGATATCCTGATTTCTTAAGTGTCTTGGTGTTTGAACACTTAATATTACAGGGAAGACAAGATAGGCTGCTGCACAGGCCACCACTGCTCAGACTGTGGGTATGTCTGACACTTCCGGCAGGTTCCGGAACTGTGGGCGGGCAGGGAGGGCCTGGTTCCCCTTCAAGATCCTCTGACGAGAAACATACTTGCCATCAAGCAAGCCTGTGAAACAGCCACACTGCAGAGCTGGATTTTAACTAAAATTTAAATGCTGGAGTTCAACCACTGGTTAGCAAAGGCTACTTCTCAGTGAAGACACAGCTCAAGGGATTGGCTCCTGGGTGCCCACTCTGTGGCTGCCCCATGGCCAGGCCTGCTCACACCAGCCAGGCTTGCCCTCCACACCCTGCGGGTCTCCTGACCACTTAAGGTGTAGCTTCTGCACAAATACTCTCCAGAATTGGACTTTTGCTTCAAGGAGGCCAGTGTGACTGACCTGCTGCCCCTCCCAGCTTCCCAAGTAAGAGGTGTGAACTGCTGAGCCCATGCTGATGGCCCAGGAACAAAACAGGTGGGCCAGTGGTCACCTTGTATCTGGTCACTGGGGCCCCATGGCCCGCTGATCTTCCCTGGACATAAGGTGTCACAAAAGCTCATGTCCCAGGAGGCCCAAGTAGACACAATCAGCCACCTACCTGGAAACAGAGCAGCCTCAGAACACGAGGAGGGGGAGTGGGGAGTAACAGGAGGGCAGCCTTCCTGCCGGTGCCCACAATGCACATTTAAAAGCTGCCGGGCCATCCCTGGAGACACCTCTGGGGGAACACAGCTGACAGCAGAGGTACACAGAGCCGAGAAAAGGCGACATAATGCCCCCAAGGGGCCTCAGTCATAGACTCTGGAGCAGGATCAGCCCTCCAGTGGGAATGGAGACCCTGAGCAGAAGCCCAGGCAGGGAGAAGCCACCGGACTGAGGTGACACGGAGCCAACAACACAGAATGCGGCCCCAGCAGACTTGCACACACGTGCTCAGGAGCAACCACTGTGGCTAGTTCAGGTGTGTTTATCACAATTTGGGGAAACGTAAAGCAGTAACACCAAGAGTTCTCTCTAACAGCATAAGAAAAAAAAGGTACGAAAGTCTCAAGGTTGCAAAAACCATCCATCTATATACATCAGGGGTAACTGTCAGAGCCTCGGGGGTCCTGGTGGGTGAAGGTGTGGGGGACTCGGGGGCGGGAGGGTGCAGCAGAGCAAGCTGCCGTAGGTGCCCACGCTCCAGGCCGGCACAGCCCCTGAGGCAGATCACTAAGACTGCCACACAGCCTTCCTGGAGACCCCAGCCTGGTGGCTAGCTGAACAGGACCCAGCGGGCGCCAGGCCCGCGACACCCCACGAGGTAGTGAAGTGGTTGCAAAGGTTTGCTGTGGGTGTGAGGACTGGGGTGACCTCTGCCAACTGAGCTCCGGCCTGTCGGCAGACCCTTTCAGAGGACAGAGTAGAATCACCCGGCCAGGGAAGGGTGGACAGGGCTGGCTCTTCCTCGAGGAACCCCGTGGCCTTATCTCCAGGACTCCCCACCCCCGAGAACAGATCTGAAAATGGGGTGTCAGTGATTCTGCTCATTACTGCTGAGCTGGGAAGCCCAGCGACAGGTGCCTCCATGCCTGGTCAGGAGGTGAGGACTGGGCAGGGTGCCTTCAGGGGCCTCCCTGAGAGGGCGGCTCCACAAAGCCAAGTGAAGGGCCTCGTCCTGCTTCCCACGATGTCCTCCAGGCAACAGCTGCCCCCTGACCTTGCTTGTCTGAGTGTCCAGAGAAGCTGCCCGTGACCAGTGTGGTCCTCCACATGGGCTCTGCCCCGTTGCCCTCATCCACCACAGAGACTTTCTTCTGTCCCAGCCTCTGGGCGCGACCCCAACCACTCTCCTCCAAGGAACACTGCCAGAGGGCCAGGCCCTCCACCCTTGCCCAGAGGCACCTGGGAACCATGGCTGCTGCCTTGCTGTCCTTCTCGCTGACAACAGCAGGAGTCTGAACAACTCAGAGGACCGCCCAGTCATGCCAACACCTCCCCAACCCTGGGTCACAGTTCTCAGTCACTGAGGCCGGGCAGGACTCAGATCTTGTATAGAAAGCTGGGCACGTAGTCGAACCTGAGGGCAGGCTGGCTGGTCCCGCGCAGCTCTTGCGTGTAGTGCAGCCGCAGCAGCTCTGCCAGGTACCGCACCACCTTGACATCCTCATGCACTAGCCCCAGCGTCAGCTGCAGGAAGCTGGCCTGGCGACTGGAAGCCAGCTCCGGGGCCTCGCTGCCATGTGCGGGCAGGTGCAGGTGGTGGCAGAAGGTATAGACGAAGGCCTTGGCACACAGCTGCGCAAGCAGGCTCTGCACGTGCAGGAAGTAGGTGCTGCCCCGCCGGATGTGTGTGCGGTGGTCCGCCAGCCGTGGCACCAGGGTGCCCCTGTAGAGCGGGCAGCGCAAGGTCTTCCGGTCCAGGTCAAGGATGCTCGTGTAGCGGCTATAGCGGCTCAGGGCGTGCAGGGCACCGGCACTGGCGGGGGACGCCACCCTGAAAAACACAGATCAAGGTCAAGGGGTAGAAGCTGGGGTGGGGCCCCCTCTCAAGAGGCCAGCCCCAGCCAGCCCCACTCGCTAGTGCTCTTTGGAAGGCAAATATGGTCATGACGATCTTCAGGGCTCCTCAGCCCTCACAATGGAAGTCAAATCCTAGTGTGGCCCATGAAACCCTGATGACCCGCTTTCTGCTGGTCTCTGAGGCCCAGCTGTTACTTCCCTGGGGACTCCCCTGCAGCCATGCCAAGCTTTCCAGTGGGGGGCAGGTTCTGCTCTGCCTGAACACCAGGTCCTCTCTGCTGTGCCTGGCTTATGCCAACTCAAACCTCACCCAGCCTCCCCGACCCCCATGTACACCATCGTTTCTTCTTCTATGACTTGGTCAAGTTCCTTCACTTCTGAGCCTTGTCTTGTCTGTAAGACAGACGCTGGTCCTAGCTACTGGGTCACCACAAAGGCTGAGTCCGGGGTGCTCAGGATAGCACCTGGCCCTCACCCCCAGCCTGGTGCTGACCAGTATGGTGCCAGGAGCTTCTGCAGACTTGGATCTGTAACCCATGCGGTACCCTGCATGTCAGAGGCGGGAAGGCGGGTGGGATTCGCTCAGCAAGGGAAGGAGTGCCAGGGGAGGGGGGTACGGACTGTCCTGGGTCCAGCTCAGATTCCAGACAGACGTCGCACATGGGACCGAGCCCCGTGGACACACAGAGGCACCCTCTGCTTGGGCCCTCTAGCACTGACCCTCAGGGGCCTCGATCTGCCTCCCGTCTCAGTGTCCGATCTGCCTGCTGGATTGGCTCATCACCCACCTCAGCTCTGAGCACGTCTGGGGCCCAGGTTCAACGTGCATCCCAGGAGGCAGCCCCTTCCTGCTCCGAAGGGCAGCTGCAGGACCCCTGCCCTAGCCTTGGTTCATCCCGAGTGCCCCTCACCTCATCGCAGCTCACTGCCCGGGACACCTTCAGAGAAGCCACAGCAAGGCCGGTCCCCACTCTCCTCCTGGTCTTTCAGTCAACCCTCCAGCGACAGGTGCCCTCCCTGGAGGGCAAGGGCCCTAGCCTGTCCACTGTGGCTCACCCCCAAGCAGGACCCTCTGGGGGCACATATCCCAATTCTTAACCCCTGTGCACTCAGGAGCTTTGGGAAGGAGGACTCATGGCACGAGTCATCAGACAATCTCCAAGGTCTCAGCTGTCACTGCTGACGGGCCTCCCGCTTTCCTGGAGGGACCCTCCATGGCTCCAAGGCCAGGGGCCAGGGCCTGGCTCCGCTCCTGCCACCCAGCCTGCCTACCTCAGGGCAGGTCGTCACCCTGTGGGGACATGAGAGCAGCAGATAGGGATCAGACACAAATTGGCCCAACACCCAGCCCACAGAGAGGTCACAGCTGGGGCAGGAGCAGGGCAGCCTGTCACAGGGATGCCCCACTGCGGACACATCTGTAATCCAGCCTTGGGCACAGCAGCTGCCACTTAACAGCCTCAGTAAACATCTGTCAAATGACTGCTCAGTGACGCAACCCTCCTATTTCCCCAGAAGGGAGGAGGGCCCTGCCTGGGTGCCCACTGCAGGAGAGCAACTCAAGCATGCCCTTCTCAATGGTCCCGGGACTGGACTCCAGCTATCACCCCCCTCGACGCCTGCATGTCGCAGGTGAGAAAAGGCAGGTGTGCGGACAGGAGCGAGGAGGCTGAGCCCAGAGCACACTCAAGAGCAGGAGTCCCTCAAGCCAGACAAACAGAGTGGAAAACCCCAAAAGGAACTGCTAAAGCACAAGGGAGTAAAGTGGAGACAGAAAGCTTTCAAAGGTAGAGGAATAGGCTCCCGCAGCCGACAGGACAGTGGAGGGGGTAGCCAGGAAGGATGCCTCTCCCAGCACCACTACCCTCCTCAGACCCAGACCTCACCTCAGTCATTTACACTACAGTGTGAACTAGAGACTCAGCAGGGACCTGAGATCCAGAAGTCCAGTCATTCCCAAACCTTGCTGCAAACCATGTGACCCCACTTCATCCCCCAAGCCAACCTGATCAGAATCTCTGCAGGTGGGGCCAAGGAGCAAGTGATTCTAGAAAATGCTCCCAAACAATTTTGATACAACAAGGTACAGACCAGGGTCGGGAAACACTTCGGAACTGAAGTCCCTTTGGAAAGGATCTGCTAAAAGTGACACAGTGAGTTGGTGTGGGGCCCCCCACAGGACCCATGAACCTCACCCCAAGGGACAGCCACCCAACACCTCATCTCTCACGGCCAGGGCCCGTCCCACCCCATAACCAGTTACCTCTGCAGGCCAATAAGCTTCCACTTCTGGAAGTCCGTGATGTGCAAAGGGGAGGAGAGCCAGTGCTTCACGGGTTTGCCATGGCGGCCATAGCCAGGGACAAAGATTGACAGTGCAGTCACCAGCTTCCTGACCATGGCCTCCTCTTCCCCCAGGACCACCAGCGTCCTCCCGCTGAGAAGGGAGTAGATGGCTGGGTGGGCAAACGGGTACTGGCGGATGAACTTTAAGGCGTTCTGGCCCGCCCTCTTCTTGTGCCTCTCGGAAGAGAGGCCAGCAGGAGGCACGGAGGAGGGAGTCCTGTCAGAGCTGGTGGAGGCTACGCTGCTCCCGTAGCTGGTGGCGTCGGAGTGGTCATCCAGGCTGGTCTTACTGCCATCTCGGCTGGTCAGCAGGTGGCTCGGGTCTAGCTCATAAGCAGGGAAGCCTTCACAACTGTTGTCTCGGGAAGGACTGGCATTTTCCACAGAGAAGTCCACGTGGAACCCTTGGTCCTTCTGCCGGTAGCGCTGTGGGGGAACGCTCACGACCCCGTCCTCATCAGAGACTGTGTGGCCTGGGGTGGAGAGCGGCACCAGCAGAGCACCAGCCTCCCTCCCAATGCAGCAAGAGGCGTCTGTCTGTAGCGAAGCAAGGCTCGAGCTGCCCTCCTCGGCCTCCCCCAACTCTGGAGGGCTGATGCCTGCCTGGAAGAGGATGGCCCCCTGGCCGCCCTCTGCGTAGGACTCCTCCTCATTAATGGCACTTGGATAGCTGGCCTTGAAGTCGTCGGGGATGAGGGCCTCAGAGGGGCAGGTGCTGAGGACTTCGATGCTGTCCCCGCTGATGGTCCTGTGGCTGACCGCCTTGCTCCGGACCACCTGGGGGCTCAAGGGCACCGTGAGGCTGGACTGGCTCTCAGACTTCGACAGCACAGAGGTGGGTTTCTCTGTGCCCAGAACCTCGATGCTCTCTCCACTACTAACGCTCCCTTTCATGTCCATCTCCAGGTAGTCCAAGTTCTCCTGGGGGTCAAAACTGCTTGATTCCGTCACCGCCGCTCCCCTTGATGCCTCATCCCCAAGGTCCTGCTCCATCTTGATGAGCACGGACTCCACGCTGGATTTGTAGGAGCCCACGCTGATTAACACTTGAGGAACCAAACAGTCTTCCGGAGACTCAGAAGGCAGCCCATAGTGATGGGGCTTAGAGACTGTGCTCTCCTGTTTCTCGGCTGGTCTGTCGCCAACCTCCACCAAATCTTCAAAAAGGAAACTGGTGATGTGCTGCTGCTTCAGGAGTGCTCTGTCAATCTGACTGGTCAGGAGGTAACAAAGGTCCCCTCTGAACATGTGCTCAACGTGGCGGAGCTGCGCCAGGGTCTGGGTGAAGTACTCGGTGTCACAGAGCTCCTCCAAGGTCTTGAGCTTCTTGTCGAAACACTTGGTGGACTTTGCTTTGATGAGTTTCGGGGTGTAGGAAGGTCTGCAGGTGTAATGGTCAGTATCAGCAGACTCTTCAAGGTCAGAGGTAGCGGCTGCCTGGCTGGGCGGATCCTGGGTGTGCTCCGATTCCCTAGGACACAAATTGGACCCTCTCAACTTGCGATGAGGGTATGAGCGGATCTGCCTCAGAAGGTCTTGATGTTCAATGATGGACTTCTCCACGCTGGCCAGCTCATTGGCCTTCTCGATGGCCTGAGATGAGTAAAAGCCTTTGTCATTGGCTTTCTTCTGGATCTCTGTCTCCGTGTGTAGCACTGTCCTGGTGTAATCCAAATCTTTCAGTTTTTTTTCAAGTTCCCCGGCAAAAGCCTTCCTGTTGCCTGTCTTCAAGCACTCTGATGCTTTGGAAAATTCAGCTGAGAGCTCCTGGAATTGCTGCATAATTTTGTGCTGGTCTGCCGAGATATAAGCCATACAAAAGGGCCTCACGAAGCCACGGGCCTCCAGGTCGTACAGGGTAAGATGGTGCACGTAGGCAAAAGCCCCTTCCTTGGAGTCTCCCAGCACCACCTTGGAGTCCTCCACGAAGTTCAGTTTGGGGTAGGCAGAGCCAGGAGGATGCCCCACGAAGGAGGCCTGGTAATCCACAGACATGATCCGCAAAGAGAAGTAATTGAGATCAAAAGTACCAAAAACTTTGGTGTCATTGGGGATGGTCAGTAAGGGCTGGGGTCCCACCTGCTCAGAGAATTCGGAAATAAGGATGAAGTCCCGAGAGAACTTGGCCCCGGACAGTTTGGACCATGGATTGGCTCCTTGGCTGGCGAAGGGGAAGAGCGGCACCGAGTACTCCTCGGGCAGTGCCGGTTCATTGTAAGGCTCCTCCTCGTACTCGTCCTCTTTGGTGAAGGCCACCACGTCAGGGGCGCTGATCATATTTCCAGGTATATGGGAAGAACATTGAGAAGAAGTAGGACACACTGCGGAGGTAGCCAACGCGGGGGAGCCAGGCCTCTGGAGGAGGAAGCGAAGTGCCTGCGGAGCAGTCTTCTTTGCGCCCTCAGGGGTCCGAGGCTGCGAGTCACAAACCGGAGGTTCAAGCTCCCGCAGCCCCTCAAAGGTGTGGCTCCTTCAAGGCTTCCGGAGGCCTCAGGAACTCCGCAGGTCAGGAAGACCCAGGAGACTGGTTGCCCTTCGCCTCCTCCCGCGACCGCGGCGGGCGCAGGGCACCCGCAGCGAGGTCACCGGCGCTCCCCCGAGCACGCCGCCACGGCAACAGCCCCACCTCTGGACGGATGCCCAGTGCGGGGCTACGGGCTGCAGCACGGACCAGCCAAGCGTGGCGACTCCCACTCCCCGAAGGCAGAAACCGTCGCGGCTCCTCGGACGCCACAACCCGGATCCAACTACCGCGGCGCCGCCATCTTGGTATCACATGACTCGAGCTGTAGTGCCGCGTGACCCGGAAGCGTCCGCGTCAACTTCCGAATCGGAGAGCGCCGTCTCCCGAGCGCGAAGCGGGTAGGCAGGGAAGTGAGGTGGCCGCGCGGGGCGGCCTGGGAGTTGTAGTTCACGGGGTTGTGCAGCTAGCGCTGGCGGAAGCGGCTGGAAGGCGGGCGGAAGCAGGCTGTGCGCGGGATCGCGGACCAGCTGGCGAGTCCCTGTTCCCGGGGCGGGCATCGCAGATGCGCTGGGCCCGGGAATGATCTTTCCGGCCGCCCGCCGCGCTCTCCAGTGGCTGCCGCGGCCCGGTGCTCGGGCCCTGACTCGCGCCGCCATGGAGGTGGCCCTGCGAGGCGTCCGGAAAATCCTTTGCGTGGCCGAGAAGAACGACGCGGCCAAGGGCATAGCCGACCTGCTGTCCGGCGGCCGCATGCGGCGGGTGAGAAGGTCCCCGGGCGGGCGGGACGGGGATGAGCGGCCGCTGCTCCCTCCGGGCGTCCCCTGCTGTCGGGCAGGGCGTCCGGGCGCCTGCTGCGACCGACGGGCTTTTAGAAACGGAGTTAGTGTCTCTAGTTTGTTTAGAGACCTTGCGCGGCGGCGGGTGTCAAGTCAGTCGGAGACGCGGAACCGCCGGCCGAACTCCCCCAGCTTGCTCTGGAACCTGCGGGGTCGTCCGTCTGGGTGCATCCGACGGGGCGACCCGCCCAAGCCCCTGTCCCGCCGGGCGAGGTGGAGATCGGGTCTGTTCTGGACCACGGGAGGCGCAGAGGAGAGAGTGAAAAGGTTTGGGAAGGGGGTGACTGGAGGCCTTACAAGCTGTTCAGGACGCTCTCAGTTACAAAAGTGGGCCCCGAAATGGTTTTCTGGACATTTCTCAGTGCGCGGGTGGAAGTCCCCTGCTTTCTTTTCTTTCACATCTCAGGGTCCTCCCTCAGACCTCTGTTTCCCGCCTATAGGTGGTGGGAACTGGAGCAGAGATACGGGTGCTGGCTGACAGCATCACCTTTTCCCAGAGCTGAGTGTCCTGGTGACCAGCCCCAGGCTATGCCCACTCCTAGGGCTCCAGGCTCCTTGAGACTGGCCTGTCTGCACAGCTAACTTCTGTATCCTTTGGCCTTCGTTTAAGTGTCTCTTTTTCCGGGAACCTTTTCCTCACGTTTCTCTCCCCCAGAGGGGTCAGGGTGCAGTGTGATAAACTGTCACTGTGTCCCTTTCTACTTGGAAGGCACCTCCTGGTTACAGTTCCATAATGTGCTGTGCAAGTTGCTCATCTCATCTGAGTCCCCGCCACCCTTCCATGGACCCTCAGCTCCGAAGGAAAGAGCTGTGGCTGTTGGGTCCCCTGCTGTATCCCTTGTACCCAATTATGTGTGTGGAGTACAGCAGGCCCTCAGTCAGCACTTCTGGGTGCACGTTTGACCTCAGTCTTGAAGTTTTACCAAGCAGTGAGAACCACATGTACAAAGGGCAACCCACTGGCTTGAAACAGCTTGGCAAGGTCAAAATTGCAAAGTTGAGAGTGTGGGGTGCTGGGGGAAGGAGCCAGTGGGCATAGCAAGAGAGGATGAGAGAGCCATGTGTTTCATAGGTGAGTATCAACTGTCTTGAAGGTACAGTTCATCAGTGTTCACTACATCCCCAGTGTTGTCCTCTATTTAGTTCCAGGTTTTATCACACCAAGAGGAAATGCCATAGCCATTAAGCAGTCACCCTCCTTTCCCCACTCTTCCCAGCTGCTGGGATCCACTAATCTACCTTGTGTCCCCAAATATGTGTCCTGGATATGTCATACAAAGAGAGTCACGTGATATGTGGCCTTTTGTGTCAGGCTTTTTCTACTTAGCATTTTTGGAAGCTTCACATTGTAGCGTGTGTTAGCACTGCATCCTTTTTTACAGCTGAATAATATCCCATGGTATAGACTGATCATATTTTGTTTTTCCTTTCATCAGTTGGTGGGCATTTGGGTTGGTTCCACCTTTTGGCTCTTGGGAATAGAGCTGGTGTAAACATTCACTCACACACACATTTTCATTTGAATATCTGTTTTCAGTTCTTTGAGGTAAATTCCTAGCAGTGGTATTGCTGGGTCATAAGTTAATTCTATCTTTAACTGTTTGAGGAACTGCCAAACTGTTTTCCACAGTGGCTGAAACATAATATAGTTTCTTCATTGATGGTCTAGTTTTTTCATATTATGTCAACACTTTTTCTTTTTTTAATTATCACTATTCTGTATGCGTGCTAAGTTGCTTCAGTTGTGTTGTGTCTGAGTCTTTGCAAGTCCTTGAACCGGAGCCCTCCAGGCTCCTCTGTCCATGGGATTCTCCTGGCAAGAATACTGGAGTGGGTTGCCGTGCTCTCCTCCAGAGGTTCTTCCCAGTGCAGGGTCTGAACTCCTTCACTTAAGTTTCTTGCATTGGTAGGCAGGTTCTTTACCACTGGCACCACCTGGGAAGCCCAGTTATCGCCACCCTCAGTCCAGTCACTCAGTCGTGTCCGACTCTTTGCGACCCCATGGACTGCAGCACACTAGGCCTCTGTGTCCATCACCAACTCCCAGAGTTTACTCAAACTCATTTCCGTTGAGGTGGCATCCTCTGTCATCCCCTATCTCCTCCCACCTTCAATCTTTCCCAGCATCACGGTCTTTTCAAGTGAGTCAGTTCTTCGTATCAGGTGGCCAAAGGATTGGTGTTTCTGCTTCAGCATCAGTCCTTCGAATGAGTATCAGGACTGATTTTCTTTAGGATGGACTGGTTGGATCTCCTTGCTGCCCAAGGGGCGGTACTCAGCTTCTTTATAGGCGAACTTTCAGTCTGTACATGACTACTGGAAAAACAATAGCTTTGACTAGATGGACCTTTGTTGGCAAAGTAATGTCTCTGCTTTTTAATATGCTGTCTAGGTTGGCCATAACTTTTCTTCCAAGGAGCAAGCATCTTTTAATTTCATGGCTGCAGTCATCTTCAGTGTGATTTTGGAGCCCCAAAATATAACATCTGTCACTGTTTCCCCTGTTTCCCTGTCTATTCGCCATGAAGTGATGGGACCAGATGCCATGATCTTAGTTTTCTGAATGTTGAGTTTTAAGCCAACTTTTTCACTCTCCTATTTCACTTTCATCAAGAGGCTCTTTAGTTCTTCTTTGCTTTCCGCCATAAGGGGGGTGTCATCTGCATATCGGAGGTTATTGATTTCTCCTGGCAATCTTGATTCCAGCTTGTGCTTCATCCAATCCAGCATTTCTCATGATGTACTCTGTGTATAAGTTAAATAAGCAGGGTGACAATATACAGCCTTGACGTACTCCTTTCCTGATCCAGTCTGTTGTTCCATGTCNATCTTGATTCCAGCTTGTGCTTCATCCAATCCAGCATTTCTCATGATGTACTCTGTGTATAAGTTAAATAAGCAGGGTGACAATATACAGCCTTGACGTACTCCTTTCCTGATCCAGTCTGTTGTTCCATGTCCAGTTCTAACCGTTGCTTCTTGTCCTGCATACAGATTTCTCAGGAAGCAGGTCAGATGGTCTGATATTGCCATCTCTTGAATTTTCCACAGTTTGTTGTGATCCACACAGTCAAAGGCTTTGGCATAGTCAAAACCATTACCATACAAGTGGGTGTGAAATATATTGTGGTTTTAGTTTGTGCTTCCCAAGTGACTGATGACACTGAGCATCTTTTCATAAGCTTGTTGGCCACTGTGTTGCCTTTGAAGAAATGTCTGTCCATGTCTTTTGCCCAGCTTTGAATTGTCTTTGTTATTGAGTGGTGACTTCTTACTGTACTCAGGATACTAGGTCCTCCTTAGATGTATGACTTGCAGATGTTCTAATCCATTCTATGGGTTGTTTTCTCTCTTGATAGTGTTACTTGATACAGAAAAGTTTAAGTTTGATGGCATCTAGTTTATCTAGTTTTCCTTTAGTTGGTTATACTTTTACTGTCATGTCTAAGAAACCATTGGCAAACTGAAGATCATGAAGGTTTGCCCCTGTGTTTTCTTCTAAGAGTTTTAGCTCTTATATTCAGGTCATTGATCCATTTTGAGTCAGTTTTTCTGTGTGATGTAAAGTAACCTGTTTTGTGAGGTCTTTCCTCAGGCTCCTCTCCATCCATTTCCGTCTCTGTTTCCAGATGCGTTTTCACAGCTCTTGGTGCTGGGGGATCTCTCTCGTGGGTCACATCCTCCAGCTCCTTGTCCCTCTCTCCCATGTGTGTCACTCTCTAAGACAGAGATGAGTCTGTTCACTCACTTAGCCCTCACACAGGGGTTGCTTCCCATGACACAATTACCCTGCCTTTCAGGGATGTAAATTCCGAAGGAGGAGGAGCCAAGACATCCACATGCAGAGCTCAGAATCAGGGGATGGTCTTTGCCTCTTAGTAATAGAAAAGAATGGAAGTAACAAGTAACGGCAACGGGGAGGGGTAAAATCAAGCTGTAGTTCTGATAGGTAATTAGATACTCCTCATGGAAAAGACTCATATGTAGAAATATATGTACATTTGAGAGAAGTTCACTATTAACTTAAGATAAAATCTTTTTTTTTCCTTAACAGTAGTGCTTAAATGGTAGTGACTACTGCATATAGTTCAGAGAACATAGAGGTGTATAAGCAGAGCAGCCCCACTTCGGACAGTGACCACTGTTAGTAACTCATAGATCTTTGAGGATTTTACATTCAGAAGAAGTCCTATAAATTCAGTGGCAGCAACGTGATCACTCCCTGCAGAGTGCTTAGAGCAGGGACTGCTCTGGCGTCTGGAGGGAGTTTGTT